TTCGGGGGATTTTCCGAAAAGGAAAATTGTAGGAGTGGGCTTTTTTCTGACCACCCCCTCCCCGTTGTGAAATTTTACCTCCGTTAGGCCGGGGTCCGTTTCCACGTTTGTTTCACGCCCACAACCTTAGGGGAATAGCAGGCACTATAGTAGCCTCCTTGTAAACTTTTAGTTACAATACATGGATTGCAAGGGGAATAAGGTTTGGCATTAACTAGGCATTCATGCACGCGAATCCCTAGGCCGGGTTTGTGTAGATTAATTGCAAAATGTGTGAAGTGGAGCCAGTGTAAATAACCCCCATCTGCCGCATTTCAAGAATCGTTCGTCTGGGGGCTTCTTTTTTTTCTTCTTTTAAAATATGTTCTTATTGCTTCAGAGAGGAAGGGAGAGGGAGAGAGAGATGGAAACATCAATGATGAGAGAGACCCATTGATCGGCTGCCTCCTGCACACCCCTCACTGGGGATCAAGCCTGCAACCCAGGGATGTGCCCTTGACTGGAATCGAACCCAGGACCCACCCAGTCCGCAGGCCGATGCTCTATCCACTGAACCAAGCCAGCCAGGGCAGGGAGCTTCTTTAAAAACAAAAAGACCCCAGACTCCTCTCCTGGCCCATTACATTTGAATGTTGAGAGTATTTTTTTTTTTTTTTAATGAGAAGTGATTTTAATGTGGTGAGAACCCAGCCCCTCTCCGGGAACCGCTGATGGAGAGACTCAGAGCTTGATGGTCAGAGAAGGGAGTGAGCCCCCAAGGTCCACAGTACACTGCCATGGATGGCTTCAGAGTCCACAGTACACTGGCCAGCTGGCATGACACTCCAGGCAGTGGGAACAGCATGTATACAGACAGCACAGAGGGAAGAAATAACATGTCAGGTCGGGAATCTGTAAGTAGTTTGTGGTCTGTGGGTGGAGTGCTGGGTTTTGAAGTTAGAAATGTTCTGAACATAAAGGGCTTTGAGTGCTCTGCTAAGAAGGCTGTCCCCCTCCCTGTGGAGCCAGGGGAGGGAAGAGAGTAACAGTTCTGTGTTCTAGAAATGTGGCCAGAGATATAGTGTGGGGGTGAAATTTTCCCTGCCTGTAAAGTGGGGACAGCAGTGAAATCTACAAGTGTTGTGATGAGGACATGGTGCTTAAGAGTGCCTAGCACATAGTAGGTGCTCATTAAATGCCCACAAGTATGATTAGTAGCAGCAGACCAGCTGCCATGGCAAATGATGTGGGGAGTCTGAAAGGTGGTTTAGGTCAAGGCAGTGAGAATGGAAACAAGGGAGCTGATTCAGGACTTATTCTAATTAAACTGTTAGAACCTTAAAGGTCAGGTAGGAACTAATTAGCTGGGCAGACAGAAAGGAGGAGAGCAAAAATATTATGAGTGGACATATTAGGAGTAGTGTAGAGTAGGGAGCAAACGTGTTAGGCTGGAGTATGAAATTGTGCAAGAAAATAATGAAGAAATAATTATGCAACAGTAGCTTGGGCCCAGGTTGTATAAGAAAGTTAAGGGCAGGCTGAAACTTTTTCTTAATTGTGGAAACTTTTTCTTAACTGTTGAAGGATTTTATACTCAGATAGGGTTACCACTTACTCTGTGGCCCTTGGCCCCTAATTCAATAGAAGTTTCTGCCAAGAAAAAAATTTTCTATATCTGCGCTCTCCAAAATGATATTATTCACATATGGCTATTATTTGATATGTGACTTGCTGAATTTTCAATGGTTTTTAATTATTTAAAAAAATATATTTTATTGATTTTTTACAGAGAGGAAGGGTGAGGGATAGAGAGTTAGAAACATCGATGAGAGAGAAACATCGATCAGGCGCCTCCTGCACGCCCCCCACTAGGGATGTGCTCGAAACCAAGGTACATGCCCTTGACCAGAATCGAACCTGGGACCCTTGAGTCCGCAGGCCGACGCTCTATCCACTGAGCCAAACCGGTTCTGGCAATGGTTTTTAATTTTAATTTTAATTTAAATAACCACATGTGGCTATCATATTAGCATGTGGTCCTCTCAGAGCCCCGATTGCTCCATATATCTAATGAGAATGGTGATGATGGCGCATAGGCTTGCTGTAAGGGTTAAGGTTTATTGAGATTCTACAGTTAAAGCACTCAACACAGTATAACTCAACACATGTTTATTGCTGTTGTTGAAATTGTTTGCTATTGTTATTATTGAACAGGAACAGCATGACATAAGCCATGCCTTGGGAATATTAGTTAGACTGTGGTATCCAGGTTAGATTGAATGGGAAAGAAAACTGTAAAAGAGAAAGCATTCACAAGGCTATTTCTGTGGTAAGGTGTAAGTTAATCGAGATCTTTCCATGAGAATGGAAAAAAAAATGGAAGGATTATGGAGCTACAAGCAGAAAGGTGTACATACAATTCTTCCCACATCAGCTTCCTTTCTGAAGTACTTTCAGAAAGCACACTCCCAGCCCAACCCAAGACAGAAACCAATGCCCACCCCCAGAAACTGCAAATGCCCACCATTAGTAGCTCTTTTTCTGGCACGTGACATACTAAAGTTGAACTCTGAACACTTCCCAGATTCTTTGCAGTTAAATTGATGCCATGGGAGGGAGTTCTGAGCAATGGAATAAAAACAGAAGCAACGTGTGCCATTACCAGGTTGGACCCATACAAATTTCCCATGTATCTGCCATTCCCTCTTCCTCTTCTGTGATGATTTTAGGGGCCACATGTTGAAGACAGCTTAGGACCCTTGAATGAATGAATGGAGCAGAGCTACTCCCTCCATCCCCCAGCCTCTCATCAGACTGTAACATGAGTGAGAAGTGCACCTTTGTTGGGCTAAGCCCCTGAGATTTCAGGGTTATTTGTTATAGTTAACCTTATTATCACAATACGTCATCCTCATTCCATTTCAGGTCATGTAAACATAGCCTATGGCTAACCTGTCTGAACTATCAATCCCTCTGAAGTCACTTTGAATTGGGTCCCACCAATATTAAGGCAGATTCCTGATTCCCACCTGCAGGAACCGTGCCTCCTAAGGCATTTCTTCCTCACTCCCCCAAAGCAGGCACATTCCAGACATACCTTCTCCCACAAGGCTACGTGGAGGCTACCCTCACTAAGCTATATTCCAGTTGATAACATTTGTCAGGACTTCCTCCTCTCTGTTCCTTAATCTCCACCCAGCAGGATGTCATCTGGAGCATGTCCTTGTTTTCTATGGCTCCAGCCCCAAACCTAGACGTCATCACTGAGTCCTCCTTTTCCTTCACCTCCTACATCCAATTCATTAGTTGGGTCTGCCCTATCCTCTTTCCATCTCCTTGC